TAATATAAAATATATTCTATAAAGAATATATACTTTATATTGTTATATTATCTACATTCTACTAATATACCCTGATTTGTCGGTCCCAATGGGCTCAGTGTATCATAAACGTTTCAATACTTATGACTGTCACTGTCTCTGCCGCTGCTCTACAAACTAGCTGCAAGAGTATTTTGAGTTCGTCCAACTTTGCTTAACCGTTCTTTCTGGTTTCTTGACTCAGTTTGCTTCTCTTTTGTTGTAGTCGTATTTTTTTGGTCAGTCAATGAACCCCGTTCGCCGAGTTGTTTATGTGGAGCAAGTTGCTTGGATCGTTAAAAGCCAATTGCAAATGTTGCAAAATGCATGCGGCAATTAGCGTGTTTGGGAAATTCGTGTAGAACACGGCGAACGGGCGCTAAATATAGCGCGGCCATCATTAAAAAGCGCTTAGCCCGGGGGCCCACAGCGAGACTCGCAGCACGAACTTGAAATAGACTGGCCGAAAAGCCGTTACACACATACACACACACACACTCACTCACGCGCACAGCTGGCTAGAAGAGGAAGCACGCGGTATGAGTATGTCAGTCGGTCAGAGCGAACGAGCCTAGGGGTGGGCAGGGGGTCTCGGCCGGCTGTTGTCTATGCGGCTTTTGTTTTCGTTTTCGTTACGCTAGCGAACGAAAGACTTAGGCGACAAACTTGATTTCGCTCGCCCCCAAAGTAGAATAAATCACGTTTCCCACTGCCGCCGCTTTTATCATTTTTCTTTTAATTGGTTTTTGTTTTCATTCATGAAGCGAAAACCAAATGCCAAAGCCAAGTGAGACATTCGATCGAAATACCAAAATCACAGACACAACACGAGGAGCTGCCAAAAAAAAAAAAAAAACAAAATTGATATACACACAAAAAAAACACAGAAACTTTCATTTAATTTCTGGTGAAAAGAGCTCCAAAAAAAAAAGGCAAGCAAGCAAAAAATAATATCGTGGTAAAAATTTAGCAATTAACATAGCAGTGAAAATGCAAGCCGGATGTTGGTATGACAATAAAATAAACATGCTTTTAAGATAGATATACGGGCGTACGTACATATGCATATAGAGGGATGACACAGTGCGAAAAAGACATACGGAGAGAGACTTGACTCTGATCTGATAAAAAAAGTGTATCAATGTTTATATAAACTGATATCTCATCAAATTTATAGTAAACTAAAATATGCATTGATGCATAAAAGCTTGACAATAGAAAGCAAAGGTGGGACTTAATAGATAAATAGATGATAGAGAGTTGGAATAAGCAACCATCATTAGAAGAAGTCTTGTTTGCGGTTGCGTTTTCTCGAGAGAACTTAATAAAAGCAGCACGAAGATTTTTGAAGTTCTATGCAAAGAGGCAGGGAGTGGAAAAGAAGGAGATAGAGAGCAACAGGTGAGAAAAAATAGAAAAGGCAAGACAGAATGAAGAGATGGATACAAAATAGTGTGAGAGAGATAGAGAGCGACAGAACAAGAGAGCGAGAGAGAGCGAGATTAAGAAAAAGAAAGATATAGTGGAAGTGGGATGCAGAGATAGTAAGAGGGCGAGTCAGTGATAAAAAGAGAGTCATAGTGAGTATTAGGGTTTACAGAGAAGAGAACGATAGCGAGAGAGAAGGATAGAGTAAGGAGAAGAGAGAGAGAGAGAGAGAGAGAGAGAGAGATAAGGAGAGAAAGAAATCAAGGTAGAACTAGATATAAGAGATAAAAAGAGATAGGAGAAATATATGCCCCAGCATATATTGAAACTTTTCAACAAATTCAGCAAAAAACTCTCGAAAACCTTTAAGCCTATTAAAGTTGAAATCGGATACAGAATCAACGCGCCCAATAAATTTCTACACAGAAAAAATAAAATGAAGTTTTTTCTTTAAAAATGTCAACGAATAATGTAAGACGCAGGCAGAAGATGGTAACCCTTGGTATATCATTGTATTACTTAGTGATCTAAAATTAGAAGAGAGCCGCAGCTGTATGTCGTTCATTATATGTATATAGATGGTAATTGTCAATAAAACAAAAATTTATGACATCAAAGGTATAAAAATGTATTGTATAGATAATGTGTTTATATGCAGTAAAGCTTTGATATGAGAGATAATTACGCATTATATAGTACAATAGGCTTACTGAAGATCTTGAATTGAACCAACGAAAAAGCGAAACTTTCACTTTCCCGATTACTCAAATAGTTAGCTCAGAGACGACTTCCGCTGGCAGATGATCTATTCACATGTGGCCCAAGGGTCAGCTTAGGTCCGTCAACAGCTCCATTATCGAATGCATTTCGAATGCATTACGTGAGCTGTCCACGGCAGACGAACTGAAACTCAGCGAGCGCGTCGTCTCGACTTTTGCGAAATGCCAAAAGGCAGCGTTGCGTATAAGACTAAACCACGAAATGGGTTGACTGCTGCGGGGGGTGGGGGAGTGTATTAGTTAAGAGCTATATGATGTGCAGCAATTACATAAGCAGCGAGCGAGCAATAGACAATGACTGTGCCTTATGTAGAATGCTCAAAGCCAAGCATCCGTCGCCTGGCGTTAATGGTTCAGGCCATTTCAGTTAATTGCGCATACGCCGCTTTGGCCAATAGCAAACGCAGTGCGAATACAAAACAAAAACAAACAAATACAAGTGCTCGCAATGTTGGCCCTGAGATAACCAACTAATAACAGTCAACAACAATTAACAGCTGCCATTTGTGCACAATTTTTAATAAGTTTTTTTCTTGCTATATACTCCATATAGTCGATAGTGAGTACTGTACTCGATACAGTGAATACTCAGCTCATTAAAAATAAATTGTTATGCACGCTTAGAGCTGATATTTTTGTAAGCTTGTATGACAAGTGGCTGCATTAGCAATGTTTTGTATTTATCAGAAAGTTTCTTATGAATCGATAAATATCGATCGGTTGCAGTAAAGCTCTTTGAGTGTACTACAATATATAGAACTTAATGAGTGCTATTATTATTAAATAAATCAAGGTTCCATTAGAGTCTACACAAATCATGTTTTTTTTTTTTTTTGGCACATTTTGCTTCTTCTACAGTTAAGCCAATATCGATTAAAATCGATATGTACATATGAGATATTTTAGCTTATATTCAGCGCCGTGTTGCTTATATTTCTTTTATTATAACAATTCACACAGCTCAGAGTTATGACATCAAATTAAAGTAAAGCTAAAAGTTGATAACTATCGATATGGAGGGGTAGAACTTGATGACCTTGAATTGCTTTTACGGCCTAAATTTCGGACACAACAATTCACATGTTGCTTTTCCTTGATTGAATATCTATAAATATTATTTATTTTTCTTTTGTATATTCATAAATCATCCATTTAATATTTATCGATTTTTATACACTTTGAATTGCAAAACTGGACGTACAGCTGGTCTGTCATATATAAATAATACAGAGTAATTTATTAGCTATTTTAGCAATCAATAGGCACACTTCTAGGTTTCAAACGGTTTTCTAGGTTTAAGCTATTTAAAAAGCTAGATATTGTTCACTTGTTTTCCAAACTCAATTATAGTAAGTCTAATAAATTTCCGATATCAAAAATCAAATGAATTCCTCATTCATTAATTTGGGTTACGTTTCAAAGAAAACATTCAACTAGTTGCCTTTCTCAAGGCTCTTTGCTGGGTATCCGCTAGTCGGGCATACTCGACTTGCACTCGCTTACACTTCGCTGTCCGTCTGTCGCTTCATTCACAATAAACGCGTCACGTTCGCAAAAAGTGAAACCGACTTTGCAGCTGGGTTTTTTCTTCGCTTTTGCTCAGTTGAATAACACGAAAGTATGCCAAGCGCCCCAGTTGACGTTGACTCACCCGCTCCTCCCACCCTCTACTTGCAGCCAATTTAACTGCCTGTCAGCATTTGAGGCGGGCCGAGGCGCGACGTGCCAAGGCGCTGCAGCCAGCAGGAGGCGCCGTGCGCATTCCGCGCTGCAGGAAGACCGGAGAGTTCGAGAGCGTGCAGTGCGCCAATGAGCGCGCTGGCGAGGATTGCTGGTGCATCGATGAGTACGGTGTGGAGCTGCCGGGCAGTCGGAATGCCACGCGTGCCGGCGTTCAGTGCCAGGAGCCGGCGCACTGTGCCGCCTCCGCGTGCCGCATGTTCTGTCCGTCCGGCTTCGCGCGTGACCCAGAAACGGGCTGCTCCGTGTGTCGTTGCCGTGACCCCTGCGATGGCCTGGAGTGTCCGCGTGGTCAGACCTGTCAGCTGCAGGAGGTGCAATGCAAGTCGGAGCCCTGCCCACCGCTGCCCACCTGCAAGAAGGCGCGCTCCCTGGCCAACTACTGTCCGGCCGGATTGCCCTTGGCTATTGAGGACAGCGTCAGGCCTTTCTTGTG